CGGAGGGGTTATTAGAGACCTTACGATTTTAGGACGGCAACGCGACGACGACGACCAAAACAAACTCCCTCAAATAAATGGTAGTATTACAGCCCACTATTTGTTGTATATTAGTTTCTCATCCGGAGCTTCTCCTAAAGTGGATGCGGGCTGGCGGGCCAATACCATTATGCCATTATTTGCTGGATTTCCCCTCCCCATAAAATTTATTTTGGAGAAGTGCGCATTAAGCATTTATATAGCAACTTTCTGAAAAACAGCACAAAATCAGTAAGTGCAACTGAAAGCATGTTTTCATAATTTTGTCTCAGAACGTCTGGCGTTTTTCCCCCCAGCCCCTGGCTTCCGGAAGAACTTGTATATATTAGCTGAGTTTGGATATTTAATAAGTGTGTACGTAATGCGGGAAAAAGTTGCAGTTTGGTTATGAAATTTTGTATTTTAACTATAACATTTGGTTTGGGAACGTTCCTAATTGTCTTTCTTTCAAATTTCACTTTGAAGACATCACAAAATTTATAATAATGTTCAAAAATGGCAATAATAATGGCGAACAAGGCCATTTTCTTCAAAAGCATGCGGGCGGGGATGAGAAACTAATATACAGCAAATAGTGGCCTAAAAACAATCGTGATATATTAGCAATCGTATGAATTTAATACAATCGTATGAATTTAATGGGTTTTATGTTTGGGAAGACTGTTCTGCTGAAGCCAGTGACTGCCAGTCTGAAGTTGCATTTGTTGCGGCTTGACATGCAGCCGTTGTATCAAGACGTGAAAATCTGTGATTTGGCATTGTAAACAAAGCGAGGACAATGTGTAAATTATTCATATATTGCAAATTATTGAATTCTTTTTAATTATTTATTGTATTTGTGGCCATTGCTGTCCTAGGTGTCTATTTAAAAATCGGGGAACCATGCAAGGTAAGCATGGTTAAAAATTTTTCGAGTATGCGGACATATGCATGCACATGCATGGTTGACGCTACTCATACGTTTCTCTCATACGCAATAGTGTGACAGGACCTTAACCGAGATCAGCATGTAATTGCAGTTCTTAAAAAACATGAAAATATTAAACATGTATATTTGTTTCATTTTATAGTGGCAAAATAAATCTGCACTATGTCTATGATGAGAAAAAAGTGCCCTTCAAGGCATTCCTATATAAATTGGCACACATATATCCTTTCCCGTACTTTTCTTATACATTTTTGTTTATATATACCATGCATGTAGTATTTAATGACGAGGGGCATTTCACTCCAAAAAAGCATACGGGATTTTCGGATTTTTTGGCGGATTTAGCGGATTTTCCCCGGATTTTTTAGCGAATTTTTGAAGAGAAAATCTGTTGGATTTTCCGGATTTGTTCGGATTTTTTCTGGATTTTTGAAAATCTGTTGGATTTTCCAGATTTTTTCTGGATTTTTTTTTAATTATAGAGTTATAGAGCTAGGTAACGTTTTGAACAAATAATTTTAAGTTGTACGACGTCAACGTTATGCCAGAACGTCAGGGTCGAGCAGAGGACTTGGACTAGGACCACAGCCTTCAGAAACTAACGAAGGCTGTGGCATGCAGTCATTTTGTTTAAATTTCAAACAAGTTCATCATTCTTTCAAAAACAGTAAAAGACAATGGTGAATAACTTTTGGTTTTGTAATTATATTTTACAACATAACGTCATTGTAACAAGAACACATATTTAGTAGTAATTCTATAGGCTAAAAAACTTAACGTACACTCGAGCGTTTAAATGGAAATGTAGAGTGGTCCAATAATTACGAAACATAATGACAGCGATCACGGTAAGCGTTTATATTAGAGAGGTTAAGATACCCCGGTTTACCGGTACGGGTGATATACACGTACCCGTACCCCGGGGAACGACTTGTAACTTAAGAAATCCAAGATATTCCGGCGTGAGTTAACCTATCAGAGAATGGCAACTTTCGCTGTTGAGGTTCGCCATAGATTGTTGAAAACTTTGACAAGCATAAGTGCATTATTTATTTGGGTAAGATGTCGAAATTTTTTACTATTTCAACGTTGGCAAAGAACCTTTACGAGTAAATTACACCTAGCCTGTGCACATCCTGTATTACCCTGTAGTACAGGGTAATACAGGATGTGCACAGGCTAATTACACCAAGTACTTCATATATTTTTTGTGGATTTGCGGATTTTTGAAGGATTTCTGTGGATTTTTGAAGGATTTCTGTGGATTTTAAGGGATTTTTTGGATTTTGATGGATTCAGCGGATTTTGAGGATTTAATGGATTTTTTCAGGATTTTTCCGGATTTTTTGACGAAGTGTACGGGATTTTTGGACGAAGTGTACGGGATTTTTGGAGTGAAATGCCCCTCGTTTAATGATACCCATAAACGTAAAATTTCAAGCATATATAATTGCTGGCATATTTATAACTTACTCTCTATCCAAAAAACAGCCATAATTGAAACAGTAAACAGTTTTGTATGTTTTTAACGCGAAAAATTTAAGTAAATACAAAAAGAAATTATAGCTTATAATTAGAGGAATTAGCGAAAATTGACTATATTCATGACGCGCTTGTCAGGCGAAAAACACACTACCCAAAGATTTTATTATTTATTCTAGTAGATGTGTCATAATACTCAGTAGCTGCAATAGATTGGATACCTGATACTGTTGCACTTTTGAGAAAAAATAATTTACCGCCAGCATACTAACACGAATATTTAATCCGCTGTCTGAAAGACGTTTTTAAAAATACACAATATTTTGTTTGCTTCAAGTGATCAGGATAATTTTTAGTTTAGGTTTATGCCCAGGCAGGAAATAATAAAATATGTAAGTTTCAAGAAGTTAGAATAAAAGCGCGAGACGAACTGTGAGATATAAAAAAGCTCAAATATCACTTGCGTAATTAACGGTTTAACTTGTTTTCGAACGCGTCCGAAAATAATTGCAAACAAAATTTTAAAACTGACTACAATTTCAAAGTCAACGTTTTTTGTTCATTTTATGAATGAGTTCTTCCACACAGAAAGTTTGAAGGAAATCTGTAATCTTAAGAAATTCGAGTGGTCGGTTTTTACACGGACTGCCTCTTAAATATTATGGATAATGAACCAGCAGGGGCGGATCCAGCCAAAAATCTGACCGTAGCATTTTCCAAGACCTTGCATATGTAGGGGGGTCCGGGTGCATGCACCCCCGGAAAATTTTTGAAATTTGAAGCCCGGAAATGCCATTTCCTGCGTTCTGAGCACTGCATGTGACCATTAAATTTGTCCTCATTGTATTCATTTCTCAAGCAAAAATGATCCCGAAATGATCTCAAAATGTAAACTATTGCTCGCGTATATTTTAACATACAATATCGGTATGATACTCGTATCATACGCATATCATTATCAATTGAATACCGAAATGCACGTATCATCTACGAACGCGTGTATCATACGAATACGCATATCATATGAACGCGCGTATGATATGAATACGCGTATCTTACGAATATATACGCATTACAAACAAATATTAGCGCGCTATAAAACACGATATATATACGCGCGTATCATAATTCACGTATTAATTTCAATACATGCAGGTATACTGTACATACGCGCACAAACACTTTAATAAAGCGAAGTTAATAGCGAACACTATACAGTAAAAACTCAAATTAAAATATAATGTGCATCTCTTATCATTCATAAGGCTTACCGCCTTACCTGACTGGAAATGATTCGTTTTACTATCTGATTTTATTTCTACCTCGACGCATATAAATCCTTTAGCTTTACGACGGCTTTCATTTCGAAATGCGCACAACCGTACTGTGGGTTCCCAATAGCATGTTGTTGATGAGCCAAACACAAATATCAGATATTCCATCGTTCTGGAGCAGTAGCCAATTTCATGCCACCGTAGCAAACTATAGCATTTGCCCCATTCCGATTGGTTTGCTAAGTTTGACCGTAGCAAACCAATCAGAATGCCGTATATGCCAATTTTCGCTACGGTCAGATTCGACCTTAATGAATCTGACCGTAGCGAAAATAGATCATATATGGGCAACACGCTACGGTGTATTTCTGAAGGATGATATTTTCTAAGCTATAGTCCATTGCGTAATGACCCGCAAACGGGCAATTACAACCGTATTTTCGGGCGGGAATTCTTAAAACAATTAATGTTACGTATTATAAATGTCATCAATTTGTTAAATAAAATGTTTTAGAACATATAAAACTAAATAAAATAAAACCTTGAAATATAAACAAGGAAAGTAAACAAAATATTGCTAAATTATATTTTAGATTGATTTTATGATCCATGTTAGAACTGGCCTATGGAAAATCTGACCGTAGAATATGCTACAGTTGCAACGGTCTAAATCCGCCCCTGACCAGGAACTTCAATAGACGCAGATAAAAATTTGGCAGCAGACCTAGAAACTACATGTTCTAAGAAAAAGCAAAATGGTGGTGGTGGAACTTGTTGTATTCCTAAATGTGATAGCATACAAAAAAAAAATCCTGAGCTATCATTTTATCAAATTCCAACTGATACAAAGCTGAGAAATATGTGGTTACACTGGATTGGCCAAGCAAGCTTTAAACCCAACAAGTTCCACCGGGTTTGTTCAAAACATTTTGTGGGTGGCAAGAAGACTTGTCTTCACAATGTTCCAACAGTTGTGCAAAAAGTTTTGCTGCCTACACCAACAAAGCCCAGAACAACATTTAAGTGTGTAAATAGAAGAGATCCAAATGAGGATAGACGCATAATAAACGAACGGGCAGAACAGCTAACATCTTCAAGAAATAAAATTTCAAAACTTGAACATGTAGTTGAGACTCTTGAGCAGAAACACCAAGAATATGAAGAGGAAATTTCAAAATTGAAGGATATGGTTCAGCAATGAGATTTTTCAATAGATCAGTTTAAAAGCAATGATATTGAATTTGAGTTCTACACCGTCTTTTCCAATTATGGTACATTTACTGTCGTTCCAATTGAAGTGTTGCTCAAATATTGATTCAATACATTACCTCGGGCTGACCAATTCATTCCATCAAGTTCCTCGAGATATTCATACACTTCCTAGTATAATTGTAAACTTCCTGTTGAATAGTTTGAATGCACCAATCACCTTTGTTGTTTGTGCAACTAACCAATCATAAATAGAAAGGAAGTGACCAGAAATGATCAAATACTTGGAATTGGCTCTTTCACAGGAAGTGTATGAATATCTTGAGGAACTTGATCAAATGAATTGGTCAGCCCGAGGTAATGTATTGTATCAATATTTGAGCAACACTTCAATTGGAACGACAGTAAAGCTTTCTATAACTATCTGTGTCCAGCATGTGAAAGGTTACAGTATATTGGATCGTCAAACAGCTCAAACCAAACTGCAAAATGTGAAAAGTGTGGGCCAAAGAGGAGGCTATGACCAGAGGACGAGCTGTTCTTGTGTCTTACAAGACTTAGGTTGGGGTTACTGGAAAGGGATTTAGCAAATAGATTTAACTTGTCTAAATCCCAAGTATCTAGAATTTGGATATAACATGGCTGGAATTTTTATACACACAATTAAGATCCATTCCCATTTGGCCTTCACAAAATTTTATTAGAGAAACCATGCCTTCCCGCTTCAAGGAGAGTTATCCCAATGCTAGGGTGATTATTATCGATTGCACAGAAGTATTTATAGAAATGCCCTCACAACCAAGAAGTCAAAGTGCAACCTTCTCAACATATAAAAACCATAACACTGGTAAAGGTTTGATTCGCGGGGACTTAACTTTTATTTCATGCTGGCAATACTTCAGATAAGCAGTTAACAAATGACTGTGTACTTTATGGTGGCAATACTTCAGATAAGCAGTTAACAAATGACTGTGGCATCCTGAAACTACTTCAACCAGGTGATACCGTAATGGCAGACAGAGGATTTGAAATTGCAGATATGCTTCCATTGGGTGTTGGCCTAAATATACCTCCTTTCCTTGGTGAGCAGAAACAGTTTTCAGAACAGGATGAAATAAAAACCAGAAGGATTGCCAAACATAGTGTTGAACATGCTATTCGGAGAATAAAGCTGCTTCACCATGCTTTGCCTATCTCAATGGCTGCTGATTTAAACAGGATATGGGTAATTTGCTCATATCTTACTTTGTTTTGCAGACCATTAATACAAGAACATGAGGAGTAGTTTGTTTATGTGTTTAAAGCAAGTCATACACTGACAATTTGATATATTTTTACTGTACATACCTTTTGTACTCTTTTCAGTACACATATGTAGATAAAAAACTAACTGAACAAATTAAACTATTTGTTCATGCAAGTGATGCAACATGGATTGTGTTACAACATACATGTATATTAATAATTATTAGAAAGTGATACTTATGCTACATCACTCGGTTACTGCATGATCACTCATAGTCACAATATCTATTAAATACTCAAAATAAAATTCAGTGAGTTGAGGCAGAGTACATTCCCCATTCCTCTTCATTAAAATAGACCTCTCAACATAAACATCACTCACTGTATAGACAACAAAATCTAAAAACGTTAACTGGCAAATAGCCATAACTTCCTGTGACTGGTAATGGCAGATGTGTTTTTTTTTAGGGAAGGTTTGCCATCAATAATCTCCAAACAAAAGGCTTTGTCACTGCAAGCTTCCAGAACACTGATTCCAGCTTTTGGATGCAGACATTTCACCTCCACAGCTCCATAGACAGACTCTTCTATCTCATCAGAGATAAGGGCATCGGGGCTTGCTCCAAGCCATGGCCATTTTGGATTCACCACCAACCCACATGATGAACAAATATTTACTCGTAGGTTGCTCTCATCTTTATACTGGTGGTATCTCATCAAGTCATTTTGCCCATTTTCAGTTCCCCACAGACAATTTGCATTTTTTCTTTGGCTTGGTTTAGTTATTGTGTTCACAATACTCTTTGGATATATTGATTTCCTTCTCTTTACCACAACACCAAACATTGATGCAGTCAGCCGGCATTCTCTTTTGTCATACCACTCCTTGCATTGGCTTTGTTGACGTGTGTTCTTTTCAATTTCATGGCATCCCTTTTTGTCAATCATCAATCTTGTGCTGATAAACTCTTTGCAATTGTCACTTCCTGGAACATGACTGCAATCTAATTTGTCATCTAACTTTGATAGTTTATTAGACCTTACAAATGCCTTCTCTAGCTTATCGCCCACTTCATGTGCCTTAACAATTCTTTGCCTAGATGGTAATGCAGTGACATCAAACTTACAAGGTTCACAATCAGTGTCAGTTAATACTCCAATTAAATAACAGGTACTAGCTTCTTCTAAACCGGCTTTAAGACGCTCCAAATCTCCTTTACAAACCTTTTCACATGTTGAGCTGTAACTGTCTCTTTTACCTTCTACCACAGCACGTTTGCATCCCTTTTTGTCCTTTTCATATGTGTCCTGGGGGAAAATTAAGTCTTCGAACAATAGAGCTTCTTGGTGGATTTTTTTGGAACATGCCATTTCTCTATTTCTTGAGTGCATGTCTTGTCATCTGGTATATCGGACAGGCCTAGTTCTACGTAATCCAGAAGCTGGAACAAAGTAGCTGTCACATGCTTACAACGGCCTCCAACACCGGCAGGACAGCAACACTTTGAAAAAACAACATCTCCAGAACTTTGATCCAGGTGCACATAAACAATATATTGTTTTTCCGCATTTCAGCAAATACACGACACCGTACAAGAAAGTTAATAGCCTTATCTCCTTTCTTCACATTTGGCTTGACCACAAATTGCCTTGGATAACCGGCCTTGAAAAGTCTGTATCCACTTTTTATGTTTAAATGCTTCAGCAGGCTTGTTGTCAGGTGTTTTTTAGCATCCAGTACCGAATGTTCCTCTAATTTCTGGTATGAACACTGATATGTCCTACCATCCTCTAATGCTGCCAAATTTTCATCTGCCTCTATTCAAGTTCCTGGTTCATTATCCATAATATTTAAATTAACTATCTAGAAATTTAATTTTTAGGACCTGCCTTAAAACCTACTCTTTATTTTAAAATATTAATATATTTATATTCTAGTCCACTAAACTGCCTGCAGCTTCATATGAAAAAACTAAACTAGAATGCCTTTAAATACCTTTAAATTTGTATTTAACTAAGCACAAAACTATGCAAATTTTAAACAGTTTTAACAAAGTTAAAAGAGGTAAATTTAATATATTTAAAATTAACTAGCTAGAACCTACTTGTTTATTTTTATAGGAAATGAACAGACCACAACAAAGGAAGCAGAAATTATTATAAACGGCAGAAACAGCGGTAAAATTATTTCTTTTTATGCCTTTCGCAACGTAACAGAGCTGGGGCAGAAAAAACAGTTTAGGTTGGTTTTCTTTCGGTCCAAAACATTTTCAAGACTTTTTTTAAAAGACTGCTTTTGGAGGCCATGAATATCGAACAAACGAAAGACATCATCGGCCAAATTTGAGAGTTTCAAGAAGCGAAAAAATCGCGAGATAACGCTCAATCATTGAGAAAATCGAGATGTAAATTGAGCAACAACTCACATGTATTTGTAGTGAAAAATGGCGAGGAGTCCGATGTCTACCAAGCATATTCACCTTAGAATGTAGACTTGAACCTTCCTCTCGGAGCGTATTTGCGAGGCCATTGTTCGCTCCTCGCCTGTTCAACACCAATTCTTTTGTCTGTTTTCGCTTCGATTTCGATATACTTCATCCACAATATACTTCAATGTATTACAAACACATTACTTTTATTTAAACTATAATACTCTGGAAAAAATGTACTTTAATAAAGCAATTTCTCTTGCATGCAAAATGGTTGCTTCGCAGCGGCCATTTCGCGTGCAAGTGAAGCCTACCACATTTCCCAAGATGCTTAGCTATAATGGGAATTGCCTATTCAGTTATACCAACTGTAATTTACGATTTGATTAAACCTGTTCTATCTAATAAACGCCAGGAATCCCATCCAATTTCTTTCTTAACTCCTCTTGGAAAATCTCTGGAGCTGAATTTGTCCCAAAATTTAATCGACAATAGTATCTCAGTGAGAGTTGAGAATGTTGTAATGCTTTTGCTTTCTTCATCTAACTCTAACTCTAACTCTAACTGATGGAAGTCATTAGTTAAGTCCAACTTAGAAAATATCTTAGCTCCATTGAGGTCATGTCTTAGCTCTTTTACTGTTGGAATAACATGCCAGGTCCTCTTGATAGCCCAGTTAGGTTCAACCATATCCACACACATTCTGATTTCATTTGAGTCCTTCTTTGGAGCTATTACTATTGGTGAAATCCAATCAGTGGCAGAATCTACTGTCTCAATGATACCTGCCTCTTCAAGACGAGACAGTTCAGCTTCGACTTTATTTCTTAAATGGAATGGTACCCTTCTGTGCCACTGGCTTTTATAGTCTCATCAATATGAAGTGTCACCTTCACTCCTTTCAATTTTCCAATACCGTAAAATTGTCATTGTACGAAGCAACAAGTTCACCCAACATCCTTTTCAAAGGTGTTGCTGGCTTAGACTGTTCACTTCTAGCAGGAACAGCTCCTGCCGATGCTTCAGTTGCCTTTGATGTAGTACCAGCTTTAGATTTCACTTGGTTGACTAATGACTATGTGTAATATACCAAGATTTACAGCTGATGTAGAACCTAACAGACATCCTGATGAGCTTGATCCTTTTATCACATAGAAATCTGCTACATCATACAGCTTCTTGTGGTTATTGCAGCTGCAAACTTGCTGACCAGGGGAAGTGGCAATGAAGAGTTATAAGCAAACAATTTGGCATTAGATTTCTTTAGAGTTACTTTTCCTTTTAATGTAATACAACTGTCCTATTATGTTTACATTGGCCCCTGAGTCAATCTGAAACTTTATTGGAACAGCGTTGATATTAATTTTAACTTTATTACACACCTTTTCCTTTTCTTTCACGGCCGGTATTCATCTTCACTGTCACTTAAATTGTCGATTTTTCTCAACCAATTAACTGCTTTGCACTTCTTTGCATAATGATTCCTTTTCCCACAATTCCGACACTCAAGTCCCCATGCCGGACAAGGCTTTCTACCATTTGTATGTGGCCACGGTCCACCACAGTTAAAGCATTCCTTGTTTCTAGACTGGCTGTTTTGATCCTCTCTTCCCACTCTCTCTCTTTAGAGTGTTCTCGTTCTCTACTATCTTTGGATTGCTGCTTCAGAATTGAAGGATTCTCCATAGCTCTTGCTGCATTCACTAGATTTGCAAGTGATAGATCTTCGCTCAATGCCTTTCTCCGTAAGTGATCAGATCAGCATTTCTGAATGATTAGATCCTTTATTTTGCAATCAATACTATGAAAGTCGCACCTGTTAGTAACTTCTCGAAGACGGGTTACAAATTTGTCAATGGATTCGTCCTCTTCCTGAGATAGTTGCCAAAAATTATAGGTTTCAAAAGTCAAGTTCACCTTGGGTTCGAAATGGGCATCTAGTTTTCCTTTTACTTGCTGATAATCTTTGTCATCTTCAGAAGCAAGCGTATAATAAATATCTGATAGTTTCAGTTTCACACCACCGTAATACAGGGGCAAAGCTTTTTGTCAGCTTTGTCCTTAATGTCGAGGGCCACAAATAAATTCTCGATTTGTTGAACCCATTTTTTAAATTGAATTCCCAAAGATGTCGGCTCTGCATTTTCTGTAACCTAACCTTTTTGAATGTGATTCCACCAATACTATTTGTCGGGAATGAAAACGGCTGATATAGGCAAATAGCCTTAGCTTCATCGTCTTGATGGATTTCCTAAACTTTTATGGTCAGGTTTGTCAAGTATCAAGGTTTAGCTCATTAATTTCATACATTATGCTCATAGGCTGATGGGCCTGGACACAAGTTTTTCTGTGACGGCCATTTTGTGTATGTCTTTTTTGTTTAGCTCAAAAACAACTAAACATCATTACGTACTGATTGATATGTTTGTAATATTTTGTCCAATTGCAAGGAGGAATGATGATGTGTGCACACACCTTTATCTAACCAAATTAAAGAAATATAAAATACAAACATCTCCATTGTCAAATATTCATGTATAGAATTAGAGTGATAAAATAATTGAGGAAACTGCCTTTCACAGCCGAATTAGCCAAACAATAATTATTACTACGACAAAGTCTGTACGATGCGAACAAGTCAAATAAATTTGTTATCAACTTGCAGCAAGTCTGCAAATATCAAGTTGCAACAAGCCTGATTTGAACTGACTTGCTGCAAGTTATTTTATCAGACTTGACAAGACTTGTTATCCACAGGTTGCAGCAAGCCTGTGGATAACAACTTGCAGCAAGCCTCATTTTCTCAACTTGCATCAACATTGATGCATTCATCAGAGTTGGTGTAAGTTGTTCCATCAGACTTGTCAAAACTTGATATCCACAGACTTGATGCAAGTTGACAACTTTACAAACTTGCAAGTTGACAACTTAACAAATGACAACTTGCAGCAAAGCCTGATTTTCTCAACTTGCATCAGCAGATTGATGCGGTTAACAGAGTCACTGCAAGTTGTTCTATCAGTTTTGCTGGACGCAGACATTTGCAGACTTGATGCAAGTTGTTTCATCAACTTGCATCAAGTCTGCAAATGGCAACTTACAGCAAGTCTGATTTCAACAGGTTGATGACATCACTTTGGCCTGCTGCAACTTGTTGACAACTTAAAAGGTTGGTAAAATCCGAAACTTGCAGCAAGTCTGTGGCGTTCTGGCTGTGTAGCATGCGTTTTTATTCCATCCTCTGTTAATGCTGTCACTGTGATCAAATTCAGATCATCTTTGGTCAGATATTTTATATATGCACTGTATAATAAGCGTTAATTATTATTGAAAAGCAATTCAGTTGCAAACATTAACTTGCCACTGTGAGTATGCAGCTAGCAAAGTACAGTATATTTGCAAGTTCACAGTTCGTAGGATTTTTTTAATAATTGTTTCCTTTTTATTTTTCGTATAGATGTGAAAGTTGTTTACCATGAAATGGAAGATAAAAGAATCTAAACTGAAAAGTGCTGGAATTAAAACAAATAATTAACTTGACAGGACTGAAATCTATGCCTGAAAGAGAGCAACATCCAGTATACACCAATTGAAGGCTATTAACTGGCATATAAATCCTGATGACATAGACCTCAAAGTTTCCTGAACATTTTCTAATATAGATATTGGCAAAGGAATACCTTGAGCAAGCGAGTTCACCATGATGCTGATGCAACTTAAATCTTTTCTTTCAAACCCTTAACAATTTCAAGCTCCATAAGTGCCAATGCTCATGAATGCGCCACATGTGAAACTATAAATGTGGATATATTTATTATATGTAGGAGAACACTGCATATATATGCATGCATTTTTATTATCGCTGTCTATTATATATCACATCTATTTCAAAAAATATTAAAGAATGTTTCCTTAAATACGTTGTGGTGTTTGTTGTTTCTCTTTCAATCTAGATACTAAGATTGAAATGAAGTCAATCCGATCTACGATTGAAAAACTGATCTAGAAGATTTAAAATTGTAATCTAATAGATTCAATATTTCAATATTTTAACGATTGAAAGTCTAAAATCTGAAAAAAAGATTGATTTTCAATCGGGACATTTAGTCCTGCATACCAAACTTAAAAACCGATTAACCAAAATAATCACTCTTTTTTCAAACTCAGATTCATTTTGTTTTCAATCGAAAACGTTTGGTCACACAAAACAATCTTAAAAAGATTGAAAATTAAATAATTTGAATTAAGAGAGTAAACTCAATTTACTTCATGGACAAAAACCCATACAGCAGAACAAATTCTAAATTGAATATATGTGTATATATATACAGTATACTGTAACCATACAGCTATTTCAATTAAGGTTGTCACAGACAATAGTCAAATGTACAATAATATGAGTGCTAAATGAATAATGGGAATAGTGATAGTTTTGCATTAGTTTAACACCTCAAATATATTACAAATACTAATGTTATAATTTCTATTGCCATCAGGCCATTGATGTGTTAAAATAGGATATTTTTTTAGAGTTCAATTGTACATTCAACACTAACCTTAATTGGAATAGCTGTATATTATAATAGGACAAGTGCAAATTGTGCATCTAATCCTTTCAAGCTAGGGTGGTCTAGGTAGCCTGTGCTACAGCCATACAAATTATTGTTTTTTATTCAAGTGTTACAGTATTCACAGACATAATTCATCTTTTGATGTGTCCAGTGGCACTTGCTTGGTGATATTCCTCTTGTGTTTGTTTAGCTAGTCATCAAATGCAGCATTGTCTAATGTTGCTAATGTACCTGATGCTATATCTGTGAAACCTTCATGAAAATGATCATCGATGCTTGCATATAGTTTCAATTCCAAGAGATAAGATAAAATTTTCATCTTTCTCTGAAGATTTGTGCTTGTGCATCATGAGAGGATGCCTTCTTTTTAATTCCTACAGGTATGTATGTTGAAGTTGTTTACAGTTTCTGCAATCCCTCCAGCCACTCTACTTAACCATTCGGTTGACTTGGAGGTTTTTTTGCCCCCATTCTTTTAATTGAATGTTAATTTAGGAAGATTAGAAAGTTCATCATCACATGCAAGAGTTCCAGAATTTACAATTTCTGCGATACGAAGCTGGTTTTTATTTCACTAGCTCTAAGAATAGGTTTTTGCAATACTTCTTGTTGACAATACCACCACAAAGACGACAACTGCATTCTGAAAACAAAATGGTTTCAGAGTGTCATCTTTGGAGTTTCCTTTCGCTGACCCAAAGCTTGAGAGCTACTGAATACTGTACGTTGACTTCGTATAAGTGTGCATGCGACGTTTATTTTCTTTGTGTTGATAAATAAACGGCTCCATTTCAAGGTGTAAAACATACCTCCAACCATGCAAATTATAGAAAATAGGTATAACAAGCTTTCAACTGGTGACATATTTCATAAAAGATAACACAAAAACATACTAAACTGAAAATATGGGTTAATACAGAGTGTAAATGGCCATGTTTTCCAGGCATAGTTATAGATGTTTTCACTTTTGCTCTTGGCCATTCCTGCATTTTGTGGCAGTTCCTCCTGCCACACCTCCCTAAGTGGCAAAGAGGTGGAAATTCGAATTTCCCCTAATTTTTAGGGGTTCACATGACCAGAGGCAACCAGATTGCTGTAGCACCGCACAAAAGTAAAGACCCTGGCTTGCAAGGTTGGCCTTTGACTTGCCTAATTCGGAAAAAAGCCTCCTTTTATAATGGATTAAATGCAGTTTCATTCCATTGAAAACATACGCATGAACTCAATTCAGTTGATAAATTTCCCTTATACAGTTTTGTTGGTGTGTTTTTGGTCATACAAGACCTGAAAACGTTTGTGATAAATTGTAAATACACAGCCAACGAGTGAAATTGACATAATTTACATGTGAGCCCTGCCCTCATTCGCATGACATATTTTCCCGTGGACTGGTCCAGCTCTTCAGAACAAGTTATGGTACGTCCTTATCTGCGGCAGATTCCATCCTGTGATCCTCGCAGCAGACATGAAGAAAGCATTCTTCCAGGTACGAATTTGAGAAGAAGATCACGATGCACTATGATTCCACTGGCTGAGGAACATTAATTCAAACGAAGTTGTGTTGTTAAGGGTACGTGCGAACATTATTTGGGTTGTTGTCTTCTCCGTACCTGTTAGGGGGAATGATAGACCACGTAGATGATCTCATATTAGGTGCCTCTTCTGTGTCCTCAGCAAGTGACCTGAAGCAAGATACTATCACCATCTTGGAAGATGCTTCCTTGCAGCTCCATAAGTGGAATTTGAACGCTCCTGAACTTGAATCAAACCAACCTTCCTCACAGAGTAATGCTGACCAAAATGCCAAGCAACAATTCCCTCCATCCACTCAAAGTGGCAGTAAACTCCTTGGTGTGGCTTGGAACAAATGCAACTATACATTTAGTGTAGTTTTTCCCCATGAGACGTGCAAACGAAAAAAGAGACATTCTTGCAAAGCCACTTGGATTCGCTTTCCCAATCTTGCTCCAAGGAAAGTTAATGTATCGTAATTCATGCATGAGTGGATACCATCTTTAGATTTACCATTATTAAAAGTTTGGAGGAAACAGTTCAGCAATTCAAGAATGCATCTGATGTTACGGCAGAACAGCAACCAAAACCTAGAATAAAACTGTTGCCAATATCTGGTAAATCTTCTCCAGCAAGGACACCAACAGCATCTCCTGCCAGGCCACCCTTATAAAGTTTATCTCCAGCTGAACCTAGATTGGTTGCTGCATCTTCATGTATCAGTGAAGAAATATCAAGACATGACAATTCTACAGTAAGCTATACATGTTATTACAATGTGTGCTGATGTCTGTGTTATACGAAGTTAGTGATCTTCTCATGCTGTTCAACTTTATAGCTACTGTATGTGCAGAATGCATTTCTCATTTGCACTGATTCAAAACAAATCTGTGTTAACTGCTGTTATCTGTTATAATACTTTGAAAACTGTGTTTATTTCATGTGTCCCACTTATACTAAAATTAAATATTTGTTTGGTTTATATCGAGATTTGCCCTGGAATACAACTTCTGTCTGCACAGAAGAAACTGTTGGATTGCAAGTCATATACATATACCATTATGGAAATGATTTGGTCAAGGGATGTGTTGGCCACACATTGGGAAAGTTTCAAATGCACACAAAGACAAAGTGGCCAAACGAGGTCTTGATCAAGCAAAGATCACAGCACTGTTTGGTAAGTATGTTTTTTATTTCAGAATACGGTCTAGAATTTAGTATAAGTTTTTCGACTTTTAAGATTAAGAGGAAAGTGGCAGTACACTCTTTGGTTTGCCTAGGGACAAATGCAATTATACATTGAGTGTGGTTTTTCCCCAGAAGCAAGACGTGTCAATGGAAAGAGAAATTCTTGCAAAGCCACTTGAATTCGCATTGCCAATCTTGCTCCAACGAAAGTTAATGTATTGTGATTCATGCATGAGTAAACTACTGTGGCATTCTCCATCTCCTGAAAACCTAGTGAATCATTGGAAAGCATGGAAATGCAAACTGGTGGCTCCTGAACCGATGCAAGCAATAGAGCTGCATTCGTTTGGTGGTGCAAGCAGTCATGGAGTCGCCCACTGCAGTTTATGCTGAAGTTTGTCAGCCAAGTGGTTCAACATAAGGCCTGGTAGCCGCCAAATCCAGATTAGTGAAGCAAGGTCTTACTATTGCTCGACTGGAGTTGGTTTCAGCACACATAGCAGCAAATTTTGTAGATAAATTGTGACATGCTCTTGAAAGATTTCCCTGTCATCTGGGTACATGGTTGGACAGACACCATTGTAGCCTTGCATTGGATTTGTGGAAATGGGGAGTACCTTCAGTTTGTAGCAAATCTTGTGCAAAAGATCCTGGAACACAACATCAACATATGGGGACATGTTCCTTTAGGAGAGAATGATGCAGATTTAGCAAGTCGTGTTGGCTCAGTGGTTGACCACAATCGATGGTGGAACGGACCATAGTGGTTGTTGAACCCTGAAATGTGGACCACAACTCTTGTTACAGAAGCAGAGTCGGCAGCAGAGAACAAGCTAATCTGTTAAGTGATTGAAAATGTGATGGTGAGCGAAAGGGATAAATTTGTTGATCTACTCGAATGAGGCAGCCTGAAGAAAACGTTAAGTGTTTGTGCACTAATGAAGAGATTTCTAGGCAAATGTTGTGGTATTCCAGTTGCTAGTGGTCCTCTTACATTAGTTGAGCTAGAACCACAGATGCAGTGGTGGATACGATGAGTTCAATGCTGTGCAGAAACCTCACCAAACTTTCCTGATGTCCAATTCCGACTGAATCTTCAAGCCAACGCAAGTGGGATACTCGAATGCTGAGGTCGAATTGAAGGTCACTACCCTGTATACCTGCCCTGTGTGAGTTTGTTTACAGATAAATTAGTCCAACGCGAGCACTGTCATACGATATCAGTCTCACCGTGGCTCGTGTCCGTGGAGAATACCGGGTTCCTGGATTGCAGAAACTAGCGAAGAAAGTGATCAAGTTGTGTTGAGGATGCAAACGCTTTAAGCTTGAGCACTCTGTTCCTCCATGCAGTCTTTTACCGAATTAAAGAACTGAGGGCTCTGCACCCTTTGAAATCATCGGTGCAGACTTTGCAGGCCCCATTCATTATTGAAAGTCTCTCATGTTGAAGTGTGAGGTGAAGCAACCTTCAAAGGATGTCAAACGGAAGTACAAACAGAGTGGAAGAAGATGCCCAAGAGTACTTTTTAAAATTGTTTACTGACTTGTCTATTATATTTAAACTATAATAGGTTTTGTTTGTGGAAACACCACGTAAATTTATTACTCCAAAGCTTCCACAAACAAAACCTTTGTGCGTTTCCACAAACAAAACCTATTATATTTTATCACCATGCAAACATACAAAGAACTTATATTTAAACTGTGTACTGACTTGTCTATTGTATCTAAATTGTTGATCATGTTTTGTTCCTCAGTCAAAAGAACTGATTTTACTGATAATTTGTTCCTCAGTCAAAAGAACAGATTTTACTGATAATGTGTTATTTCATTTATAGAAAAGTGTGCTGCAGGATAGTTTCCTTTTGCATGTATTTCCTTCCATGACTTACACGGGGGGAGTGTCGGAAACTATACAGATCAGGGGTGATAACATAGGTGACATATCACATGAATCTTTTAGGTGCAATAACCTTCGTGGTTGGGGTTGGGATTAATAGGAACTTTGTACTTGTTGGTGTTGGGTGTAACAAACTACCTTAAAAACATACAAGGTTGTGTGGCTCGTGATTTGTGACTTTGCCAAAGTGTGGACTAGAAACAACATGTTCCTCACACTGCTTGCAGTTCCTCAACAGTGCTTGGGCAGGAGCGTCGCTAGAGCATACAAGGGCATATACTTTATGCCAAACAGATTCTCCCTGGAAGAGAAAATTACTTCCTGCCACTTTCTACATTTGTTGACAAACAACATTAAAAATGTGTTCATTTTCTGCTTCGATCGACCAAACCATAATCCTGTCAGCAAAATATTCCTTGATCGAAGATGTATTGGTAGCTCATTTATCATACATTGCACTGGCCATATGGACTACTTTGACGACTTGAACACAAGTATTTCATCTGCATTCCATGTTAAAGAAAAATAATTCTTTGACATGCCATGATACTTTATCAAGTTTTTATAAAGTTTAGCATTATTCTGTGAGATTATAATGAAATATATGCAAAGAAAATCGAATCACATGCTGTAAAGTTAACAAATATACTTTGCCAGCAGTATAATATACACTCAGGTAATCCGACAAACCCATTTAAACACCATTTGATCACTTTATCTAATTTATTTTGAAGCAACTGAAGCCTGAATGCAATTACCATTTACATCTCAAGATTATTTGTAAACTAGCTGTGTATGAGTTACGGATCTCTTTTATTATTCAATCTATTTGAAGTTGCAAACTTCCAAATTGGTTGTTTCATTGACCTGTGTATATAATGAGTTTATGCTGCCACAATGAGAGCACAATCTAGCTTTTGGGTTTCTTAAAATCACTTTAAAATAGATTATAATATAGTGTGAGGTTACAACAAACAACCTCTCTCATGCAATGCACATCATCCTTTGCAAAATGTGATCCTTAGAATGTCTATAGTTACAATCTTTAGATTTACCCGGGATTATTGAACGTTTGGGGAAACAGTTAAGCGATTCAAGAGCTAGTGCAATGAGCTTCAATTGGATTTGGATAAAATGAGCAACTGGGTGAATACATGGCAATTACGCTTTAATTCTGATAAGTGCAAGGTTATGAGAATTACACATTGTCAAGATTTTTCAACTCTTGTGTATTATTTATCTGCAAAGAAACTCAAGATGGTTAATCAATTTAAAGATTTAGGTATCATTATATCAAATCATTTAACCTGGAGTGATCAAGTCAACTCTGTAGTTAAAAAAGCCAATTGTGTGTTAGGAATCATTAAGCGGACAGTAGGAAAGTCAAATATGAACGTTTTCATTCTTTTATGTAAGACTCTAGTGAGACTTAAATTGGAGTATGCTGTGCCTATGTGGTCACCTTATTAGTGAAAGATGTAAAGGTCTTGGAAAGTGTACAAAGAAGAGCCTCAAGGATGGTGTTAAATCAAAAACGTGGAGAAATGCCCTATGACAGTCAATGTGAAATTCTAAAACTAAACACATTGCAAAAGCGTAGGGAATATTCTTCACTAATAATAGTGTGTTATAAGACGGTGTTCATACTTAATGGTATTTCATTTGATAAAGTTTTTGAATTTAGACATATTTGAAAAACTTAATGTAATCATAATTATACATTATACTCAAAACTATCTAGAGTAAATTGCTTTCAACATTCTTTTTTTGTCAGAATTATTAATTTGTGGAATGGTTTATCATCGCCTGTTGCGGAGGTTGATAGGCTTTCACTTTTTAAAGTAGATTAAAAGAGCATATGGACAATGTACTCTTAGGAACTGATGTTTGATAAATATTTTTTAACACAGATTTAGTGTAGGTAAGGGGAACTACTCGAATAGGGTCAACCTCATGGTTCCCCTGCAAGAACATTGGTGTCACAATAAGTTGTATATCTGTATCTTGAATAAATTATTATTTGATTTGATTTGATGTGAAGGCAGAACAACGTTTTTCAGTTTCAGCTATTTAAAATCTATTATAGATCAGCGGCATCCTCGAAATGTATACTAAATAAGTTGTAGAAAAAGACGAGATGGAAGAAGACTGATACGATTTCAATTTTGTATCCTTGGAGATATTTGCGGGAGAGGGTCTTTAATTATGATGTGCGTGTGCCGCAAGATTTACACTAGATCATTGTTTATATACCAGCACTTTCATTCAGTTTAAGTAAATTAACCACCGATGGATAATTCTCCAGAAATTGTAATTGGCATGGGAATTACATTAATTCGAATAAAGTAAACTATAAGCTATAAATATTTAAGCAAGAGATTCTCAGAATTAGCAAATAATTATATTGTATAATGCCGACAGTACTAGACTTTCCGAGCAGTGTCATGCTGTGTATATATGGCAAGTCTTTTTACAACATTTGAATTTGAAATTGCAGTCTGTGTTTTTGGGGAATTTTATAGCTGAACTTTTGACAAGTTATAGTACTATGAAGTTATAGTACTATAAGATAGAATAAATCAGTTAATGTGGATAGATCATGCTATTTATTAAGTTTAATTTACTTTGTGAACCATAATTCCCGATTATGGTGGAGTAGAGCGACGATGGCGCATTATTAAGCCGCTCGTTGTGTTCAATTATATTCATGTTCTGATCATGAAACTAGGACGTGAACACCATTTTGTGTACATGTGCAACCTAAGTGTGCATGATGTCCCTTCTTATTGCTAATCAATTTCAACACAACATCGACAAAGATTTATATGAAACATCTCAGCCAACAGCCTCGTCGAATTTAAGAAATTTTGCAGTGCTACCTTGCATGGAAACTTGATTTCAAATATTGCTATGTTCAGTTAGTAACTCTAAAAATATGACGTTCAGGCCAGCAAATATTTATACTGTACACATGCATTTTAACCCGCACAAAATACACTGTTATGTATTCCCTATAGGCTATGCCGTACTACAATTTATCTAGACAATATGTACTATAGAAAAATTCTGTTAGTTAGAAAAAAGGATTTAGAGAAAAATGGTAAAAAAATTTAGAGATTTTCGGAAGAACATTTCATAACTGATTGGGAAGGAAAGTATCTTTTAGAGTGGTTGATCGGAAGTCACTATAATTTTTGTGCATAGTTAATATATGCTTTGTGACAGTGTAAGTGTCCATGCACATAAGTGGCATCCAACCTCGTTGTCAAACCATATATGACTCCTGAGAGCGACTAAAAGTTGCGCATTGTGTCAAAGTACTTTAGGTGCTGCCCTATGCAATTAAATAAGTAAAACCAACGATGGTTGATGTTCGAAGAACTGAAATTGGCGAGGAAATTATAATAATTGGAATAAAGTAAGGTTTAACTTGGAAACCTATAATTGAATCTGTTGTTTAACATTATTAGCTACAATCATAGATATCTTATATACACTAGATAGCGCATCTCATTTAGTAAAATTGAAGCCAAGAATATTCCAGCGGTTACCCCCATTTGAATAGATGGCGGCCATGTTGGTCGTTCCCACTTGCTAATAAACACTTAAAAACAACAATAACTTTCATTATTAGAATAGTTTAAAAACGTATTTGGAATAGGGTTAACTTAATGTTTAAGTTCCCTGTTTAATAAATAGAAAACATACGAATCTTCTCATTTCATGGGAACGACCTGAGACTGCAATCACGGCTTCAATTTTTGAATTGCAGAATAATTAGATGCACTATCTAGTGTATATAAGATATCTATGGCTACAATGCGTTAAGCCGTAAATGTGCCATATAACATATTTATGGTCATTTATGTAAAAGATTCACTATATATATATTTAAGAAAGAATACCTACTATCTCGCCTCATAGTTATTCTATTTTCACCGTATAAAAAAATTTTAGTTGACATTGAGGAACATATGCCACTGTGGAGAATACAATATTATAATCTGTGATTTAACTAATAGTATATATATTTGCTGCTGAGCGAAGCAAAGGCAGCCAACTATTCTTAACGACGTTTACAGTTTTCACTCGTGCCAGATCCCCTCGCGACCCATGTATTTTAGCCAAAGCAAATCTCAATTTGTTTGTCGTTCGATCATTCGGGTCGCATTTTCTGATGTCACAGAATGACGTTGTGTAAAAATTTATATACGCAGAAGTGAACAGTGTCAATCCGATCACATACGAATGCTGTGTTCGGAGTGCCGTAGCTTCATAGTATGACATTTAATTTTGACATGACTGTTTGGCACAAGGCCTATTTTACAATATTACTACTATTTGATTTTGGAGGAAAAGAGTTATATTTTTGAAAGTATGTTGATAAAAATAGTTATTTGAACGTTTGAATACTATATGTAAATGAATGTGTATAATGAATGTGTATATATATTATATGTAAATGAACATGTTTAATACATTTATATAAAAATTTGAATTCTATCTCCTCCAGGTGTATATTTTGGTGTGTGTTCGTGGCGATCATTTGGTCAAATCAAATCAAAAGGGGCCGTTCATATTATGTTTCTCAAAAAAGCAGTGAATTGTGAACTTGTTGTACCTGTACCAAACTTGCTATATTTTATACTTTATACTGGCGAATCAGTGTGATCTCACTAGCTGGGCAATCGTTGACGTTGGCAATAATAAAGTTGTATACTGAGAATGTCAAAAGATCAAGCCAACAAGGTATTGTATATCAAATTTTACAAATATATAGGTTGTATGTCAATTAGAAAATTTCCAATAAAAATAGTTATATATTACACTAAAATGATTATTAATATTGTTATTATGGGAATATGATATGTAGTAAAGCCCGGCATAAAAGAACCAGTGAATTTTGATTTCAGGCTGAAGTGGTTCTTTAATCTTTATATATAATCTTACTTCACACTATACTTTTTTATATTCTACACATTAAATAGGGACTGTTGTTGCCTAAAACAATTTCTATGAAACTAATATGGTTCTTGTTGCATATATCTAAACTTTAAAAAAATTTTAAACTTGTATTTTGGCTGCTTAATTGCCCAAACTTCGGGCTAGTGGTTCTTAACCTACTGAGTACTGGTTCTTTTATGCACGGCATAGACCTTATGCATAATGACGTCTATGGTGGCCCAAAACTGCCATTGATTTTTTTGATAAATTAATTATTTTCATCAATTTACTTTTTAAAATTATTGTTTTTTTTATGTATTTAGTCTTACTTTACTTTTATTTATTTTTTAATTTTAATTACTTTTCTTTTTTTTTCTTTTTGTTTTAAAAAAATTTTAAAAATGTATCTCACCACGAGCCGAAAACTGCCATAGTATACCACAATGCGTTGCGTGCATGTACTAATTTATTCATACAAATTTATTTTAAATTATTCGCGCATTCACGCGGGAAAGTTAAATCCAACATGGCGTTTAGGCAGAAGTGGGAAGGGTTTGAAAATCGTATGAAAGCTAAACGCGAGATTAACTGTAAAAGAAAGCAACAAGCAACAGCGAAAAAGGTAGACCATTTGACTGTGCAGAGATTGAGCTTGGACGTGTCCGGAAAAGCACAGAAATTTTCGAGGATTGGACCCAGTGCCGGATTAACCATATGGCAGAAGCGGCATATGCCACGGGCCCCACGCTTTTGGGGCCCCGCGCTTCTCTCTTCTATTTTTTTTCTGAATTTTTTGTTCCCTGTCTCAGCGCGTGGCCCAAACAATGCTTTCTTGTATCAGCCCTAAATGTTTTCTTTTTCTTCCATGTTTTAGTGTTTCAGTGCGGGGCCCCAAAGAATCCAAGGTTCCCCAGAAAACGTTATAGGCCCCAAGATTTAAAAATCGAGGCCCCAAACGATTATTTTGCTCCCTGTTTTAGCGCGGGATCCAAACAGTGCGGGGCCCTAAATAGTCCAAGGCCCCCAAAAGCAAAACCCCAAACTAAAAAAACGGCGAGGCCCCAAAGTTAAAAAAGGCGAGGCTCCAAAAGCAGGCCCGCGAACACAAAATTTTTTGTTCCTTCTTTGGGCAAGAGGCTCCAAAAAAGCGATCGCGAGGCCAGAAAATCATAGGGTTCAGAAAATTTCGAAATTTGCAGCAAACTGTTAAATTCTAAAAGATCGCTGAATTTTGTGGAAGGCGGCAGAAGTTTATATGGACGCTATCATGTTTAGCTATCTTTACCCTGTAAATAATAATGTTAATGGTATAAACCGGGTTAAATTTCAGTTCGATCAAAATATTATATTGATGTATAATTCTTTCTCTTTTTGTAAATACACAGGAAACTTTTCAAAGCATGAAATACAAAATGATATTTTTTAATCTTCACTGAATTCAGGATTTAAAATGCCGTTCTGCCGGTGGGGGGGGGGGGGTCAAAGGGCCCCGCTCCAATAATATGCCACGGGCCCCGCGGAACGTTAATCCGGCCCTGATTGGACCCCGAGAGTTTGTTTCTTATCCACATGGCGACATCACAATCGACAACATAAAGAAGGCATGTGAAACTCATTTCCTCTCTCAACTTAAAATGAATGTAGAGTGCGACGTTCTTGCGGGTGAGCAAGGTCCATCTTGTACAAGTCTTGACCAAATTCCAAATCTGAAATTGATCCATATTCGATTTGTTGGCACTGCAAAGCGAGATTCGTCTGCCTTTTCTTCCGAATTCCCTGCCGATTCTGAATTCAGTCGACCAAAAAGTAAGAGAACACGTGGACAGCCAGAACTTGCAAGTTGTTCCTATCAATCGCCTCGAGCTAGGTCCTTAGAAGTGAGACCACAAGTTAAAAAGAATTTGAATGCTGGTTGTCCAAAGAGTCTGTCTGTCACACAGATGATAAATCTGGGCAAAGTCGTGCGACAAGAGACGACCATTGCAGACGTTTACAAGTGTAATTTAGAAAATATGGCATGGTCTTCAGTCGCAGAAAGAGTGGAGCTGGTTATTGAAAAGAAGCCCTTTGCAGAGGGAGGGTTCCGTGAAGTGTATAAAGCAAAAAGTCCAACAGCATGTTACAGCGAACGTCTCTGGGTGGTTAAGAAGTACTTACCAAAAACACTGGAGTCAATCAATCAACTGGGGCAAACGATTGAAGATCACACCAAAAAGGCAGTCCAAATGCAGTCTTTGGCAAAGAACATAGCTCACTCCATGTATGCAAAGGTATGGAGTAGAGGATTGTGGGGTGTTATTTCTGCTGTTATTTCTGTGGGTGTTATTTCATTTTTACAGTACCTCAGCTTTTTATGTCCATTTGTTTGTTTGTAAGCACAATATCTCTAGAAATAAACAGTTTTTACCAACTGTTTGTGCAAAGAATACTGTATTCTCTCTACTAACCCCCCGGGGGCTTTCTCTTAGACCCTTTTAAGGAGGGGCTTATTTGAGAGGGGGAGGCTTATTTATTTTTTGGTAAAATTATGATAATTTTCTTCCAGCACAAAGCAATGTTCAACTATATATTTTCAACTTTTCAACCATATATACATTTTAGGATGTTTGTGACATGTATTACCGGTACCATATTCTCTCTACTTAGCCCCCCTCTCAAATAAGCCCCCCTCTCCAATAAGCCCCCCTTTTGAGTGGAAAAATGAAATAAGCCCCCCCCCCACTCTAATAAGCACCCCCTATATACTGATCTGTACCCCGATATATACTGATCTGTACCCCGATATATACTGATCTGTGTAATGATTTTGAGTTTATTACAGTTCAAAGAGATAATATCCATTGCTGATTTTATGGAAAATTAAATAAGCCCCCACTCTCAATTAAGCCCCCCTCTCCAAAAAGCCCCCCTCTAAAGGCCCTGAATTGAATAAGCCCCCCCGTGGGGTTAAATAGAGAGAATACGGTAAGCATCATCTTATTCTTCCAAAAATGAAAGCAAGTTTGTAGAAATCTGTTTCATGAGAAAGTACATGTTTTTTCTATTAAAGGGGTGGGCTTAATAGAGAGGGGGGGCTTAATAAATATCTTTGCCTAAAAATGGGGTATATTAAAGGGGAGATTATATAATGGGGGGGGGGGGGTTATATACTGGGTGGCAGGGCTATACAGGGCGAATATGGTACTGGTGCCATGGTCAATCAATTAAAGACCATTATTTTTCTATTCTAATATGAATTGGATAAAATCCTGGGTTGAATAAAGGCTAAGTTCTGTCTTTGCAAGGCCTTTTTGGGACTGGACAAGGTTATAATTATTATTATTAAGGTGAAGGAATTATGTCAACATCAGTTTGGGAAATGCTTTGTATATACAGATAGCTACATGGCCAAGCTAGAAGGTGGTGAGTATGTCACCATCGAAGAATTTATTGACGGTGACTTCACAAAGTATCTCAACAATACTGGGTTAGTCTGTGGAAACCGATCAACTGATGAATGCAAGAAAGCTGAATGTTTGGCCCACTATTCATATGAAAAATCTTCAGGGAAATTAATGCTTCTGGACATCCAAGGTAGTATGTACACTTTGTTTGATCCAGAGATTGCATCTGCCACCTTACTGATAGACGCAGAATACTTGTTTGGTGTTGGAAATCTAACATCTGAAGCCATTACTGCATTCATTGAAAACCATGAATGCAATAGATTCTGTGGTCTTCTTCAGTTGAAACCTTTTGCAGAGCTTTCTTCAAGGGATGATGAAAACTAACTGTGAAAAATTATGGAGACATATATGAGATAGTCACATATGTACAATGCAAAACAATGGTGTTTGTTTTATAATGATTTTGGTAGTTGATGTTATGTTAAGTGAGCAAAATATATGCTTACAAAAATGGTTACAAGGAAGCTCCATCACCAAGAGACATATAAAATTTATACACAATATGATAGAACAGTTAAAGTTTGGTAAATTAATAAACACACTGATCATTCACAACAGGTTATTCTGAACTATAGTCTAAATTTCATATTTAAAGCACAAAAACTCTGTGCAAAATGAAAGTACTTCTTGAAATTATCAATGCTGTTAATGTTAATGTTATTTTTACTGAATGTATTACATGCAGTTACATTCCATTCTGCAATATGCCATTCACAAGATATGCTTCTTATACATTTACCTGCATGTAGTGGGTGCCCTTGTAGAATAAGCAATATATTTTAGTACAGTTGATCAATCCATGGGCAGACTTACATGCCTGCAACAATCTATTAGATAGAATCCACTCCTTCTTTTAAATATAAAAATGCATCAACACAATCCTTTGGTTGAACATCAACTGGGTTGGGGATCAGTTCTTCACATCTGGCTTTGATGTCGTCAGGTATATACTTTTCTTCATAGTCCAACAATTCAGACTGAATAGTAGCCTCCTTTAACTGCTCAACTGTGACAGGCCATGCTGGAACACAAAATACAATTATAAATTACTATCACCAGGAGAGTAATTGATTTAGCTTAGGTACAGTACCTGCTAAAAAACCTATAAAGGCTTTGGGAGAAGTCGAGACAAACTAATATTCAATTAAGGCAATGAGTCAACTTGTACGTAATTGATGTGTAAACACATAAATGCAATAGAACCTATTTTAAGAAATGCTTACAGCAATCCTTCAGTCCATATTCTTCAGGGAACTGATAAATATGGTTGGGAACACCATCTGGTAAATATGTGTCTTTTTGCTTTCTAATTCGATGACTGTTCCATATTGTCTCCTTGAAATCATCCAGTTCTTTTTGTAGGATAGGAATAAAAAGGTAAGCCAGTACAAATCTACAAATAGCATAATTGTGTGGTTATAGCTATAGCTTTGTTTTGTATGTGAAACATGAATAAAGGAAATACACTATATCTGTGGAAATGAAATTCTGCTAACAGTTTTTTTAGCATGAGCAATGTACGTTAATTGCAAATCATTTTGGCCAGGGCTGCCCAGAGGGCAGGAGGGGGGCGGGGGCAAAGGGGCAACTTGCAAAAAAAATATGCAGTAAATATAAACTCTCAAATACTGTTACAGAGTGTGCAAGATTTTGCCATTCTAGGACCTCAAATTTTAAAATTTTTCTGTTCCATTCTCCCCCGGACCATCCACTCCCTAGCATAATGCAGTACTAAAAGATATAATCTCAAGGAACCCCAAGTCAAATTTTGCCCTGAGCCCCCAAATCTCTCTGGGCAGCCCTGATTTTAGCATTAATAAACAAATCATAAAACATACTACAGGGTTAATATATGATAATATACATACCTGTCTCTTTCATTATCAGGGTTGTAGTAACCTTGTTCTTTCAGATATGACAATTTTTCTTTGTAATACTTTTCTAACCTTTCGTGGAGTTCTCTCCACCACCTCTCGATCTAAAAACCACAACAATATTTCCATAATCTGATTATAATACAGTACTCTTATTACATAATACATAAATTAGAAAGGTGGTACAACATACCCACACCCTATGGTATGCCTAATTGCCTACATAAGGGCTATGTCAAAAATATTTGTACAAATCAAAATGAAATAAAAGCTCCAGGTGTGTCTGTTTAACTAAGAAATGCTGGGATTCATGTGATGCCACTGAATTAGTTATATCTTTTTACTAGTACCTGATTAGAAGTTGACTTCCCGTAAATAACAGTGTCACATGGATCCATATCATTGTGATGTTGGCGCAAATAAGCATGTAGTGTTGCCATTTTTCCTGTTTCAGTTCCTTTATCAATCCTGATCATTGATGCAATTCGTTTGGTGTCATAAAGGAACTCAAGATACCATAGTCCAATAACCCTTGGATCAGAATTTCCAGTTCCAACCCTAAGGAACAATAGTTTGCGGCTTGCAGTGTCCAGACAGCCATAGACTGCCAAAGGGAAGGTATCTCTCTGGAAACCCATGAGCTTGCAATGACCATCTAAAGAGAGGACCCAATTCGGACCAGCTGTGGTAAACCTTCCTTTAACACGGTTTTTTTTCCTGTTTTCCAACGCTCTTTGCTCAAGACCTTCAGGATTAAGATCATACATCATCGCATGTACGATTCTTCGAGGAACTTTCAGATTGTGCTCTTGTCTTACTTTATTCGTCATAGCGCGATATCCAAGAAGCTTTCCTGGCCCGTCCAATTCCTGTTTTACAGCGGTTCTCAATGCTTCTTCAGTCACTGTTCTATCCGTTCGATATATATCAAACCATCGCATTCTTCTGTCCAGTGTTCGCAAAGACCAAGCATAATGGCTGAAGTCCTTCTTCATAAAACTTAGAATTTCTTGTCTCTGGAGTCCTTGCCTACTGTATCCTTCCAAACTATCTTTCAGTCTTTCGTCGTCTTTCCAGTCTGGATTCCTCATGTACCCCATGTTGGATTTAACTTTCCCGCGTGAATGCGCGAATAATTTAAAATAAATTCGTATGAATAAATTAGTACATGCACGCAACGCATTGTGGTATACTATGGCAGTTTTGGGCTCGTGGTGAGATACATTTTTAAAATTTTTTTAAAACAAAAAGAAAAAAAAAGAAAAGGAAAAAGAAAAAAAAAGAAAAGTAATTAAAATTAAAAAATAAATAAAAGTAAAGTAAGACTAAATACATAAAAAAAAACAATAATTTTAAAAAGTAAATTGATGAAAATAATTAATTTATCAAAAAAATCAATGGCAGTTTTGGGCCACCATAGATGTCTCAAGGCTTGGTGCCTGCGAGGAATGCTGGTCTTAGTAGTCATCACGGTCGTAGATATAGGAGATCTAGATTGCTAATGCATACCTAGCGCAGGCGGGGCCTACATGATAAATCCAAGATGGCGGCACAACAGGGCAAAAAGACTATAAATTCTATTACGAAAATCAGGATTTTTACATTTTTGCCATCGCATTGTTTCGAAACTTATTCGGTCAAATTTTATGGTAAAGAGAAACTTACCGCGAAGATTTTGAGCATATATATGATTGAATTGGATGAAAACTCGCAAAATTATCCATCGATAAAAGTTTGTGTATAGTACTGATATAGTACTATATATGTAACTTGTACAGTTTCGCTTTAATTTTTGCTCACTATTTGCATAAAAAGCAAATTATAACAGACCATAGATGATAGACCCTCATCCAGTGCTCTCATCAGTTTACTTCTCTAACAAGCAAGGGGGGGGGGGTACATAACAGTTCATTTTTCATAATTATGAGGACAGAGCAGATGATGATGAGAGATGCAAGTATAAAACACCATTCACAAGGCTAGATGTTAACATAGCAAAGTATTTCTGGCAATAAAACGCTCCAACTGACCATTTCACACGAACTTTTATCGCTGGATAATTTTGCGATTTTTCATCCAATTCAATTATATATATGCTCAAAATCTTCGCGGTAAGTTTCTCTTTACCATAAAATTTGACCAAATAAGTTGCGAAACAATGTGACGGCAACAAATGCAAAAATCCTGATTTTCGTAATAGAATCTATAGTCTTTTTGCCCTGTTGTACCGCCATCTTGGATTTATCATGTAGGCCCCGTCTGCACTAGGTATGCGTTAGCAATCTAAATCTCCTATATCTATGATCACGGTCCAGGAAAATTTCAATAGTGGCCATTTTGAATTGTTTAATTTTCCTGGGCGATGACCAGCATTCCTTGCGGGCATATCATGCCTTGTGACATCATTATGCATAAGGTCAAATGAGCAGTATGATGTCCGAATTGGAACACACAATTGTATACTTTTGAAAAATTATCTGAGTGACTTGTTTTCGCTCATGCTCACAATTTCTTTCTTATTATATAGTTTTGCAGTTCTGACTGAGTGCAATCTTAGTCATTTATACAATGAATGGTTTCATACGAAGATGATGTATTAAACAAAAATGTCAACAAAATAGATTTTGTCTCCCCATTAGCTGATTGTTCAGTTGTTCTGCAGTAGGGGTGGCCTTGAAGGTGCCATTAAAATGATAATTGGGACAAAAACTGACTTACTGGTAGTATTTCTATGTATGAAATTGTTATTAAATTCTACATATCCAATGATTCATTCAAGTGTCATCATTTGTTATATATGATATTGCACAGTATTCAGTGGCAAGCTAGTTATGACAACTGGTCATATTTTCAAATCAGGAACGATTATTTTAGTGCAAATTATATTGACATTGCGCGAGACATTGTTGTATTCACAGCAATATTTTCATATCAGTGGCATAATCTTTAAGTTTCTAATTGCTACATTGCAGTACAAGACCAAAAGGTTCTGTGATAATATTTTTGTACATATCCATGAATGTTTAGTGTGTCAGCAAGCCGTGTTTTCAAACATTAAGTTAATTACCATTATCACCGCCTATATCTTGTCACATGACCAGTTTCCATGGAATTTCCAACCTCTCACCCAAATATGAGAGCCATAGTGTACTTTGTTAATTTTTAATTAATTTTTAAAGATTTTTCCTATTTTCCCATGCCTAATGAAATTGGAGCCATGCATTAATGCACCTGAGTGCGAAGTGCCTCCAAGAGCTGTATCAAATGGCTATTCAATTTCACTTGGTTCACACAAGCTGCTCTCGATTGGCCAACCCTTCCATTGTCCAAGATATTCTTCATTCTATAGCAAGTTTAAAGGCTAATTTATATAGGTATATTTATGTTTAATAATAATATTATAACTTGCAAATATTTTCACATAAATGTTCGCAAAGTGAAGCAAGTATAGTATGTACCGGTTATTTCTCCTTTCTACAATTATTTCTGCTTCGTACAACTTCCCAGTCTTTCTCTTCTTCATTCCGTTGTACAGGGTGTATAAAAAAAAGGTAATCGAACTTCAGCACGCTATTATACATGAATCACTCGACGTATGAACGATTGGTTTTCATATTCGGAAAGATCGGGCTTTTAGCCATTGAATGGAGAACCAAGTGGAGAAAAAATAAGCATGTACGAGGCTGATAAAAATTTTTAGTAAAAATCGCAGATTTTCACCTCTGTGCCTAATTAAAACAATGCATAACAAAAGAAAAAGCAATTAATCACGAACGTGTCATAGCTTAGCGTTTATTCAAGTGAAATTCATCAACTTAAGTGCCAAAGGGGGTTCATCTTCAATGGATTTAGACCCACCTCTCAAATGTGAAAATATACGATTCTGACTAACATTTTTTATCGGATTTGTATTCGCTCATTTTTTATCCATTTGGCATGAAGATATCATTCAACAGCTAAAAGCATGATCGTTCCCGAATGTGAAAAAATATCATTCATATGCAGAGTAATTCAGATACAATAGCACGCTGAAGTTCAATTACATTTTTGTATACACCCTGTACAAAACAACTGACGACAACATATTTAGTTGCTGGTAATCAATCGACTCCCACACTCGTTTGGCCCCCATATTGATTATTGAATGTTGCATCTTATTATATGCTGAAGGACTGCTGCATTGCGTGCTGTTTAAATTTCTGGTGATGCGACATATACCATGATTGTTGGGTTTCAGTAATGCCAAGGGATAATTTTATAGTCTTTTGAAAGGCTTTAAGTTTTTAATAAGGCCCTTATATAAATCAACAATCTGGATACAGTTGGCAATATTTCAGAAGTCAAAAGATCTATCTAGAGATATATATTTTCTTGTAGGCTTATTGTCAAACTGCCCATGCGGCAAGCATGGTTTCTTTGGCAAGTCTATAATTGAATATTGAAATCTGATCCAAGTCATCCAACTTGCTTGAATTGTAACTCGACACTAGATTATAGAGTAGAAAGTCATGATATAAATATTAATTTAAGAGTTCTCTTCACCATTTCTTGTTGCAAATTTAAATTTCATCACCCAAAGTTGCAACTTTTAAAATGCGACAAACATTGCTCCTCTCTAGACTGCGAGCAATCCCTCTATTTTCCTTCGTTTTATTGTTTCCCGAACTAAGACTGAACATGTGGGAAATGGCAGAAAGGGGCGGAGACGAAAGGAAAAATAGAGGGATTGCCGCTTTAACCAATTGTCAAGCATGTTTGATTTTCCCATTGCACAAACAACAGGAACTTCTGATTGGTTAAAAAACAATACATATTCTGATAATTTAAAAACCCATCACTCAGCTGGCTTTATACTGTAAACAGACATTTGCCGAAATTAATATCTATTAGCTAATTTAGCTATATAAATGGCAGCGGGAAACAACAACAATCAATACATATGTAGTTGAAAGTCTTACAACAAGCTTACAGAAAAAGGGCTGGTCCTTAAAAGGGAACAGACGCTTGCAATAGAGTGCCCACTTGAAGGTAGAGATTTTCTAGCTGTCCTTCCTACAGGATTTGGAAAGAGTTTCCTGTTGTCTCAAGATATTCGAAGGGTTTGTTCAAGTGCAACTAGTATTCTAGTAATTGTTCCTCTTCGTAGCATTAATTATTGATGAACAGTTGAAACCGTGTACCATACTGGCATTTAGACTGACCCAAATACTCTTTCTTGCAGTCATCGCATGGTATAGAATATACAGCATGAGTTTTTCTGATTTGTTTTAACAGAATCTTTTGGCTTTGCGAAAATATGGCCTAAAGTCAAATAGGGTTTTAAGGCAACCTTATATTACAATTACTTAAGATTCTCTTGATTGGTTCTGTGACACGTTGAATGTATGTATGGAACTATTGCATAACCCTTAACAGAGGTATCACCCTTGGAGTTATTTTGGTTCCTACAAACAGGTGATCTCAGGCAATCATTAAGAAAACGTTTTGGGTAATCGTTTTCCCCTAAAATATTTAGAACATATTCACGTTCATTAGTTTGAGAATCGCTGTTTGACGGCAAGGATTGAGCTCTTTGAACCAAAGTTTTTGCTACGGATCTTTTATGGCTTACTGGGTGATGAGAGTCGTATGACAAGTATTTGTCTGTGTGTGTGGGTTTGTGATAAACATCAGTCTCTAACTTCCCTTCGTCAGTTCTGTGCACATTCAAATCTAAAAAAGCTAAATATCCATTTATCTTGCGTTCTACCGTGAATAGGATGGACGGCTCAATAGAATTTAAATGTTGAAGCAGAATATCGATTTCATTTTTAGAAACCGCAGAGATGACATCATTGACGAAACATTTCCAAAACGATGGAGATACCGGAACAGAGGCTAAAGTTCTTTGTTCAACATCTTCCATTACTAAGTTATCAATTACTGCCGAAACTGGTGACCCCATCTCTGTTCCAAAAACCTGTTGATAATAACAGCCCTCAAACACAAAGTATGTGGTGTTGAGACAAAAAGACAGAAGATCAATAATATCTTCTATAGGCAAGGATGAATCATGATTAAATGGAATAATCATGTTGACAGTATCATTAAGAAAGCCTCTAAAAGATTGTATTTTTTTACATCAGTTAAAATGTGTGGATGTACCCACTGCTGAGATGATTTGTTTTTTATTGTACTTGCCTCCAACCAATAGTAGAATAGGCATCACCTGTTTTTCATTACAGAATCCCAAATTACCTGAGTAAAGACATTGAATGGATACAACTTCGTGCTATGAGAATTATATTTCCTAGGTCTAGGAAGTCTTATAACGAAGCAATTTCACTGTCTAATCTTGGAAAGCTTGAAGAGAGATGTCAGGCTGCATGTGACAACTTGTTTAAAGAAATCGTTGAGGATCCAAACCACAAACTTTGTGGCACTATTGCCGCATTTGAACTCAAATACTGCACATTCCCTCAGGACAAAGTGAACCTTCGACTTTCCAATAATTAAGACTAATAGATACATGAACACATTCATAATCGCAAATTCTAAACGATTTAATTCATAGTTCATAGTTTTAGTATTTGTATATATTTGCATGTTTCCAATATTCAAGTTTAAATTTTAAGCTTTGTAAACGTAGAGGTTTTGTTTATATAAATTAGAAACACTAATTGTAAATCTTATACCATGTAATTCAGCTTAATAGCTGTAAGTTGGTAATTTTTTACTAAACTATTAAACTACGTCAGAATATTGTCACAGAAAGTCACAGTCTATAGATTGCACCCTTCAATAGACCCTAAGACCCTTTGCCTTGTTTTATACGTTTTCCTGCCGGACAAATTCTGATTATGAATATTCATACATGCCAAACTGAAATTTGAGAATTTCAATACACATTGTTTGATGGTTTCATCCTAAGCGAATTAAGTCATTCGAGACCGCACTTTTCAAGAGATGTTTTTGACCCTGATTTGATATATACACAAGTAGGCAGAGCTTAATCAAACATGTTTGACAACTAGTTAAAGCGGCAATCCCTCTATTTTATTAGGCAATCCCTCTATTTTATTAGGGATTGCTCACAGTCTAGATCCAAGTCATCCAACTTGCTTGAATTGTAACTTGACACTAGTTTCGGGACCATTC